CGCGTCTACGTGCTGTTTTCGAGAGTCATTACGAATCGTCTCGCTCGCAGACTCGACGACTCCCAGCCTCCCGAACAAGCCAGTTTCCGAAAAAGCTTCAGTACCATAGACCACATACATACCCTTCGGCAAATTGTACAGAAGTCCGAAGAGTACAATCTGCCACTTTGCCTGGCGTATGTGGACTATGAGAAAGCCTTTGATTCCGTCGAAATTTGGGCGGTGCTACAGTCTCTTCAGCGGTGCCTAGTTGACTGTCGGTATATTGAAGTGCTGAAGTGTTTGTACAGTAGGGCTACGATGGCTATCCGAGTACAGAACCAGAGTACGAAACCTATCCAACTGCAGAGAGGTGTAAGACAGTGTGACGTTATTTCCCCGAAACTCTCCACCGCTGCGTTGGAAGACGTTTTCAAGCTACTGGACTGGAAAGGATACGGTATTAACATCAATGGCGAGTACATCACTCACCTTCAATTTGCCGACGATATAGTCCTTATGGCAGAATCGCTGGAGGACCTTAGCACTATGCTCAATGACCTCAATGGTGTCTCCCAACGGATAGGTCTTAAGATGAACATGGACAAAACAAAGATCATGTTTAATGTCCATGTCACACCTATGCCGGTAATTGTTGGGAGCACTATGCTCAAAGTTGTTGACGAGTACGTTTACCTGGGACAAATAGTCAGACTAGGTAAGTCCAACTTCGACCGAGAGGTCAATCGACGGATTCAACTCGGCTGGGCAGCGTTCGGGAAATTACGACACATCTTCTCATCAGGTATACCTCAATCTCTGAAAACTAAAGTGTACAACCAGTGCGTGTTGCCAGTGATGACTTACGGATCTGAGACGTGGTCCTTCACCGCTGGCCGTATGAGGACGCTCAAGGTCGCTCAGCGAGCTATAGAGAGGGCTATGCTCAGAGTTTCACTGATATCCGCAGTGAAATCAGAGTGACCGACATATCCCAACGGATTAGTAAGCTGAAGTGGCAATGGGCTGGCCATATAACGGTTATCGGCTCGAAGAACCGATAACCGTTGGGGAAGAAAGGTTCTCGAGTGGCAGCCTCGTACCGGTAGGCGTAGTGTAGGGTGACCCCCCACTAGATGGAGTTACGACCTGGTAAGACATGCAGGAAGTCGATAGATGCAGGTGGCTCAGGACCGTGCTTTGTGGCATTACTTGGGGGAGGCCTATGTTCAGCAGTGGACTTGTAAAGGGCTGTAATGATGATGTTGATGATGATGCCCAGCCGAGTAGAATCCGTCGATTGACCTCTCGGTCGAAGTTGGACTTACGTAGTCGGACTTTTTGTCCCAGGTAAACATACTCGTCAACAACTTCGAGCTTTGTGCTTCCAACTACCGGCATATGTGTGACATGGAAGTTACACATGATCTATGTTTTGTCCATGGTCACCTATCTGTTTGGAAGCACTATAGAGGTCATTAAGCATATTGCTTAGGTCCTCCAGCTATTCTACCATAAGGACTATATCGTCGGCAAATCGAAGGTGAGTGATGTACTCGCCATTGATATTAATAACGTATTCTTTCCAGTTCAGAAGTTTGATAACGTCTCCCAATGCTGCGGTGAAGAGCTTCGAATATATAACGTCACCATGTCTTACACCTCCCTGCACTTGGATAGTTGATAGCCATCGTAGCCTTAATTAACAAAAACTTCAGCACTGCGATAAACCGACATTCAAATTGGCGCCGCTGAAAGGATTGTAGCACCGCCCAAATTTCTAAGGCTTTCTAATAATCTCCATATGGAAGATATATTGGCAGATTGTACTGAGGTACAAATATGAGATGAATTTTTAAATGTAGTGGTTTTGTCATCTAATTAACCATATTTGATGTAATTATATGATTTGATATGATTTTTTATCATTAGTTTTTACCCATAGTAAGCCAGTGCATGACTAGCATTCTATCTGATGGTTAGTTTTAGTTCAGTCAAAGATGGTAAATCGCACTGACTTAGCTTAACAAAAGTCTTTTCAATTTTCACCAGAAGTCACTCACATTGTACCTGGCATGCCTTTTAAGTTCTGTTGTTTATATATTTACCGGCAATTTTGAATTTGTAACTGTTCAATATTTTCAGAACAGTTGAAAGTATGACGATCAACGCTACTGGGTCTTCCAAGACGAGCCCAAACCGACCAAATTTGTTCACTTTTGAAGCACTTTAAAGAAAATGGTGGCCATGTTGCGGCGATTGCAATTGAAGATCGTAGAACGGTTAATGCAGAGTGGTATACCACAGCTTGTTTTCCACAAGTCATCGCCAAACTTCGGAAATCTAACCCAAAACGACGCATCATCCTACACCATGACAACGCAAGCTCACAAAGCGCTGGTCAAACTATTGAATATTTGAAACAGGAAAACGTTGAAATTCTTGACCACCCTCCATACAGTCTTGACCTAAGCCCTAACGATTTCTTTCTTTTTCCTAAAATAGAGAAAAATCTTCGTGATCAAAGGTCTAAGTCTGGGGAAGAAGCAGTTAACGCTTTCAAAACAGCCATATTGAACAGCCCCACTTTGGAGTGGAATAAATGTTTCAATAACTGGTTCTCACGAATGGAAAAGTGTATTAAACTATGTGGTGAATACTTTGAAAAACTATAAAAAGTACGATAAGGTTCTAGTTGTATTTTTTGGTCAAACGACAACTCATAAAAGTTATGCCGCCAGATGAAAAGTTCAATGATAGCAAATTATACCTCTCCGACTGATTCGTGTCAAATGGCGCATGCAATTTGTTTGGTTTGAATGCATGGTATGTCAGAGCATCATAACGAATGAAGTCAGAGCATCATTGTTCGATACACTATCTGAGCACTGACTTTGGAACCTATTAAATTATGTGAAAATTATTTTATCCTTTGTAGTTTTCTTGACGTGATAGTCTAATAAATCGATGACCACTGGCTGCACACACGAAAAAGGAAGACTTATTGTAACGTTACGCTCATTGTACGTTACGATCGGAGTGAGAGCGTTCATAAAAGTATGCAATCATTTCATCAATGTTTTGTTTTGACGTTGTCACATTAAACTTTCAACCGTAAACCGACTTTACAGATAATCAATTTTTTTTATAAAATAAAAATGACAAACGAACCTACTGTTATATATTACGTAGATTTTTATACGTGGTAGAGCCACGCTGCAGCTATATTGTGTTTGAAGCACGAATGGGTCGACTCGACCGGCGTAGGACGGGTATCCTGTGGCGGCGTAGGACCACGCTGTCACAGGATACCCGTGGAAAATAGTATTTTAATGCTGCTGTGTTTAGTATGGTGAGTGTAGAGAAATGGAGACCCTTTTTACTGCAAAAGGAGACATTCTATCTTAGTTCTCAGATGTGACAACACATCTGCATGTTGATTCTTAATCGAGTATAAATGTAGATGTCTATGGGTCACAGTATCCATTTACCATGAGGTGGACTGTGTGCTCGTTTGTCACCCTTATCCTATAGAAAAAATAGTTACTGCAGCCCATGAACACCTGCAACAAACTTTAAACAAACAAGAGTACTGATGCGCTCCTCACAGCACGTAATTTCAGGCCGAAACAAAGGTATTAGCATTGCCTTTTGGCTAGAGAAATAGTTTCGTTTAAAAAAAGATTGTTTTGATGTTGAGTTTATGTTTTATTTTTAAGTTTAATTTTTAACCTTTTAGTGTTATAAGCAATATTACAACCTCAATACAACAACAAGAATGTTATTTTATTTAACTAAAAATTATTTGATTAAAAGTACTTTTACGGATTTTATCGCGTTTGATTTTACTTTTAATTATTTAATTTTTAATTCCCGACGTTTCGGGTGCTTTCCGGCACCCATTGTCACATTGAGGTGACTAACGTTCCGATGTCATTGTTAACTCGCTTCAGCTCAGAGCAGCATCAGAGATCTGCAGTTTGTGATTATATCCTATACGGCCCCAACCATTTCATCAGATTTGATACACCACAAATCCTCGCAAAAAAACACCGATTCCTACCAAGGATGATACGTGAGGCTATTGAAATTAACAAACATCCAAATTTCAATAGAGAAGGAGGCTGTAAAAGGCGATAAAATCCGTAAAAGTAGTTTTAATCAATGTGTAGTGTTCGCGTAAATATAAAAAAATAATGATTTCTAAAAAATTAAAAATTATTTATTTTCCGCACATATTGGGTTCGATATTTTACTTCAAATATAAGTGGATACCAGTGAGGTCTAGCCAACTTAATAAGAAAAGTATCGTTAAAATCTGTTAATTTTATTTGTATGTGTTAATATTCGCTGTTACTGGTACAGCCACAAGACTACTGCTGAACGTAGGCCTCCCTGCAGATTGATCCCACAGATGCCATAGTTGCCATGCTTGGAGGGTGGATTGGCAAACGCAGTTTATTTAATGTTTTAGTTGTTACTAAAAATACGCTGCTTCCCATCTCCCACCTGCATGTCTGAGGAATAAAAAAAATATTTTGAAGACATATGAAGTTCGCCAACACGGATTGGAGCAGCGCGGCGGACATTTCCTTGCCCTAGATCCCTCTCAGAAATGAGGGAAGGCCTGTGCCCAGCAGTGGGACGTATATAGGCTGTAACTTTACTTTTTAACATTTCCCATCTCCTACTGTATTTTTCTCCGATGCCTGTTATGACACCCAAATGGCGATATGGGATAGTAGATATACTTACACCACGTCATTACACAGTCATTATCTTACGTATATCAATATAAAAAGTTAAATGCGATATCTTACGTGATTAAAATTTCAAAGCATGTCACAAAAATAGATAAATAATTCAAGATATTGGATATGACTAACAAGTGCAATATTAATCGAAAATATTTCATTGTCAGAAAACAACGATAAGATATTTAAATTATATAAATTTACCATGTAACAAACATAGACGCGAGTTGTATTTAATACAACACGTAAGAAGGTAAGGTGTAAATAATGTTGGGGACAGCGATATTGTTGGCTTTAGCCACTATTGTGGCAGCTGAGCAGTCACACATTACGCTCTACTACCACGAGAATATCGGTATCCCTGAGGCAGCACGCATCCGGCGTGCAGAGGAGGCTCAAGACTTCGATGGCAGCCGCGTAGCTGGGGGCAGCCCCATTGCGCTTGGTGACCACCCTTATTTGGTACGTTTTAAATAGAATAGCTTTTATTTCATATAGATAACTAACTAGCCATTGGTACTAATAGCTATACTGCATAGCTAACTGGCCATTGGTACACTGATACACCCGTTTTTACCACAATCAATATTATAGTAAAAATGGGTGTACCACATGGGTCCATTCTTAGCTTTTTCCTGTTTTTGTATATTATTGTTGTTTTACTGTTTATCATAATTCTATAACAAGCCATAAAGCAGTGCCAAAGTTTTAAAAATCTTATATTGCCTTTGCTAATATATCAGCCAAACCCACTAATATAAATCTTTACAACTTGAAAGGACTAATGTTTAGTAATTAAATTTTAGCAATATATCTTTGTTTCTCCGATACTTTTATATGTTAAAATTGTTAATATTTAACATTGGAGTAACTATGCAACTTAACCATTGACATTAAATGCTTTGTATTATACAGGCAGGTCTTTTAATTTCGTTAACAACTGGACAAACGTCTGTATGCACCGCGTCGCTGGTGTCAAACACGCGGCTAGTGACGGCTGCGCACTGCTGGTGGGACGGTCGCCACCAGGGCTACCAGCTCACCGCCGTGCTTGCATCCACCACACTCTTCTACGGCGGCACTCGTGTGACCTCCAACAACGTACAGATGCACCCCAACTTCAATACAAATAATCTCAACAACGATATCGCCGTCGTCGTCATCCCTTGGGTATCATATACCAGTCAGTATATTCAATTATTAAATTTTATTCATCATTTTTCTAATTCTACTAGAAAGCCTTCACAGTCTTTTCATGCAGCAACTACTCGCGTATATAATAATAACTGTTTCGTTAGTCTAGTATCCGTAAACGCTGCGTAACTGCTGATCATGATGTAGGTACCAAGTTTGAATCTGGGTCGGGCCAAAAAAATAATTTAGTTTTCCTGTTAAAGATTTTCACTAGCAGCTTGGTGTCAGAAAGTCGACGGTGTTTCACTCCTGTGCCTCGGAAAGTACGTAAAACCGTTTATCCTGTGCCTGATATATCCCCGGTCGTGTCGATTTGCCGTCCCATTGGACTGTAAAAGTAACGGAACAGAGAGTGCATCTGTGATCGCGCATACACTTAGGTACTATAATGCTTTATGTATGCTTAATATATTAAGACTGTCTATCGTAACCGAAATTCGGTCCGGAAGACATTATTATTATTAAATTTACTTTAACAAATTTTCTAAATCCATTATAAAACGTATCGATCGTACAATCTTTTCAACCTGCAACTATTCGCGTATGTAAAAATACTCTTCATCAGCCTGAAAAAGTTTCTTCCTGACATGGGACTTACCCGAATGGGAAATCCTTTATAGGAATTGCCATAATAGTCACCCTTGGTAGGTTGAGTATTATGGCAGAGACAGCACGACACTTAACGTTTTTATTCAGGTGTGCAGTGACTTCGACTTGAAGTGACAGAGACAGCACGACACTTAACGTTTTTATTTAGGTGTGCAGTGACTTCGACTTGAAGTGACAGAGACAGCACGACACTTAACGTTTTTATTTAGGTGTGCAGTGACTTCGACTTGAAGTGACAGAGAGAGCACGACACTTAACGTTTTTATATAGGTGTGCAGTGACTTCGACTTGAAGTGACAGAGACAGCACGACACTTGACGTTTTTATATAGGTGTGCAGTGACTTCGACTTGAAGTGACAGAGACAGCACGACACTTAACGTTTTTATATAGGTGTGCAGTGACTTCGACTTGAAGTGACAGAGACAGCACGACACTTAACGTTTTTATATAGGTGTACAGTGACTTCGACTTGAAGTGACAGAGACAGCACGACACTTAACGTTTTTATATAGGTGTGCAGTGACTTCGACTTGAAGTGACAGAGACAGCAGGACACTTAACGTTTTTATATAAGTGTGCAGTGACTTCGACTTGAAGTGACAGAGACAGCACAACACTTAACGTTTTTATATAGGTGTGCAGCGACTTCGACTTGAAGTGACAGAGACAGCACGACACTTAACGTTTTTGTATAGGTGTGCAGTGACTTCGACTTGAAGTGACAGAGACAGCACGACACTTAACGTTTTTATATAGGTGTGCAGTGACTTCAACTTAAAGTGACAGAGACAGCACGACACTTAACGTTTTTATATAGGTGTGCAGTGACTTCGACTTGAAGTGACAGAGACAGCACGACACTTAACGTTTTTATATAGGTGTGCAGTGACTTCGACTTGAAGTGACAGAGACAGCACGACACTTAACGTTTTTATATAGGTGTGCAGTGACTTCGACTTGAAGTGACAGAGACAGCACGACACTTAACGTTTTTATATAGGTGTGCAGTGACTTCGACTTGAAGTGACAGAGACAGCACGATACTTAACGTTTTTATATAGGTGTGCAGTGACTTCGACTTGAAGTGACAGAGACAGCACGACACTTAACGTTTTTATATAGGTGTGCAGTGACTTCGACTTGAAGTGACAGAGACAGCACGACACTTATCGTTTTTATATAAGTGTGCAGTGACTTCGACTTGAAGTGACAGAGACAGCACTACACTTAACGTTTTTATATAGGTGTGCAGCGACTTCGACTTGAAGTGACAGAGACAGCACGACACTTAACGTTTTTATGTAGGTGTGCAGTGACTTCGACTTGAAGTGACAGAGACAGCACGACACTTGACGTTTTTATATAGGTGTGCAGTGACTTCGACTTGAAGTGACAGAGACAGCACGACACTTAACGTTTTTATATAGGTGTGCAGTGACTTCGACTTGAAGTGACAGAGACAGCACGACACTTAACGTTTTTATATAGGTGTGCAGTGACTTCGACTTGAAGTGACAGAGACAGCACGACACTTAACGTTTTTATATAGGTGTGCAGTGACTTCGACCTGAAGTGACAGAGACAGCACGACACTTATCGTTTTTATATAGGTGTGCAGTGACTTCGACTTGAAGTGACAGAGACAGCACAACACTTAACGTTTTTATATAGGTGTGCAGCGACTTCGACTTGAAGTGACAGAGACAGCACGACACTTAACGTTTTTGTATAGGTGTGCAGTGACTTCGACTTGAAGTGACAGAGACAGCACGACACTTAACGTTTTTGTATAGGTGTGCAGTGACTTCGACTTGAAGTGACAGAGACAGCACGACACTTAACGTTTTTATATAGGTGTGCAGTGACTTCGACTTGAAGTGACAGAGACAGCACGACATTTAACGTTTTTATATAGGTGTGCAGTGACTTCGACTTGAAGTGACAGAGACAGCACTACACTTAACGTTTTTGTATAGGTGTGCAGTGACTTCGACTTGAAGTGACAGAGACAGCACGACACTTAACGGCATCTTAAAATTGAGTTTTGAGCATTTGAGATGTGTTTTTACCCAAATAGGGCAATAATGCTGCTACGGCACCGTAAATAATTTATAGTAGGGTATCGCTGTTGTCGAATCGACTCAAATATATCTCATTATTTTTAAACTTTTGTCGTTTTAGTTTGACGTGACGTCGTCTTATACGAAGATAAAATCCATAAAATATAGGTATTATAAACAAAACAATTGCAAGAAAATTAATCAAAGAACTACATATCTGATCGACTACTTCCTTGTAATATGTTTTGTTGCAGGCACAATCCAAGCAATCAACCTGCCGAATCAAATGATGCAACTACTAAACTTTGCCCACTACTTGGCTCAAGTCATCGGGTATGGAGTAACCAATGATTGTAAGTTTTAAGATCGAGTTTAACTCCGTTTGAGCTTAAAATATTCTAATATGCAGACATAAGGCAAGATAAAGGAAATAATATATTTTATTAGATAAATAAAAAATCTTAAGCAAAAATAGATAAAAAATTCTCAATAATATCTCCAAGAAACACTTAAAAATACTTTTAACTAAACTACAAGTTAAAACTTATCTGGAAGATTTAAGAAGAAGAAGCAAACGAGCATTATGGTCACCTGTTTATAATTGACCGCTGTTGCCCACGGACAGCTGCAAGGCTAAGGGAATTGCAGGTGCATTGCCAAGGGCTCTTTTTACTAGAAACGAGGTATTCTACTTTAGGGGAGACAATGCTTCTGCATTTAAATTATTAATTTAGGATAAATTTTGATGTTAGCAAATGGACTGTGTGTTAAATCTGTGTGGTCTGCATCCTCAGCGGAAGACATAACGACGTCACAGATCGCGCGACGCCTTACCGTGGAGATCATTCGCAATGAGGCCTGCGCGACCGCGTACGGCTTCAACGTGATCGCGTCTACGTTGTGCACGAGCGGACTGGGCAACGTGGGTCCCTGCGGCGGTGACTCAGGCGGTCCACTCGCCCTCAATTTCAGCGGACAACGCTACCTCGTTCGTATAATTTTTTTTTTAGCAACAAACAGTCTTATTAAATATAAAGTTTACATTTTACATTTACATATTATGGCAAAAGACCAAACAGTGCCAATAAATTTACATTAACAAACCATAATGTATTTATATTACATTACAATATATTCAGACAACAATTTTGCTGAAAAACCTGTTTCAAATAAGAAGATTAGACCTAGTGTTAAAAAGATCTATTTCAAATGTTGTATTATACATCTTGGTGGAAAGACATACAAAAGAGCTACAAACGAACATAAGGACGAACACTGCTGGAAATTAAATCATATACAAAAGAGTCGGTGAATCTATTAATGAATTTAGAATTTTATATAGAAGAAGAACTAGCGAGAAACCCAGCGCTGACTTTAAAAAAGATGGAATGCCTCGTTTCCAGTAAACACCCTTTTTACTGGAAACGAGGCATTTCATCATAAACGCCACTACTTATCGCTAGATTCCGGGTTTGAATCCTGGGTCGGACTAAAAATTCATTTATTGAGCATTTCTGTCAAAAATTCTCAGTAGCGGCGCGGAATCAGGAAGTTGGCGGTGTTTCACCCCTGTACTCACCCTTGCCTCGGAAAGCTCGTAAAGCTCCGGTCGTGTCAGATTACCCTCCCATCCGACTGTGAAAGTTGGGAAACAAATGGTGCACCTATGTTTGCGCATACACGCCCGTTCTATAACTCTGTCCTGCACAGATTACACCTAGTCTTTATTGAGACTAGCGGCCGTAACCGAAATTCGGTCTGGATAAATAAAATAAAAAATATTAATACTATAGGCCGCAACTTTTTTATTATAGCGTATGATGGTAAATCACTTATTCTAATAGAATGATGTAAATCGTTATATGGCTGTTGATTGACAGGTTGGTGTAGTGTCTTTCTACTCGGCAGCGGGCTGCCGCGTGGGATTCCCCGGAGGCTACGCTCGAGTCACGTCCTTCACACCTTGGATCCAGGCTAGACTCTAATAATACCTGGGGGTTAGTTCAATGATAAAATGCCAAAGTACCTAATGTCTGAAATAAATTCATATTTGTTAAAATAAGCCGTATATTTTTTCCTATATTTGAATGGATAAGCAAATTATAAACCGAAATAGAAACACATGTGTCATTACCTATTAACTAAATAAAATGTCGCTTGTCCTTTATGTCTTTGTATTCTCCGTAAAATTTAAAACTACTTGATGTTTGCTGCGGTTTCTCATCACAGTTTAGTGAATTAATAAAGAACAGATTTCAGTATTATATATATCTTATGAAACCAATACATCCAACAAACTAATAAGCTGAAGTGGCAATATGGCGGCCCTATAACTCTAAAAATTGGCAACCGATCGAGATTTTAACTAATCCTAAAAATTGCGTAAAATATCATCTTAATGAATTGTTGCTGAATGGTGCTGGTATGGAAAGTGTTGAGAACCAAAGATATTTTTACTTAATGATTTCTTATATTTACGCGAACACTATACATGATTAAAACTACTTTTACGGATTTTATCGCGTTTATTTTTACTTTTTATTTACTTTTATTTTTATTCCCGACGTTTGGGCGTTTTCCAGCACCCATGGTCACGGGGGACTGAGATGACTGACGTCCCGATGTCATTGTTAAACCCGGAGTACCTTCAGCTTTTTTAATTATTGTTTATGGACCGATCTATGCAAAATGAACTGACTATGTCCTGAGGTCTTGCAGTGGTATGCTTGGGTTTAGTTTTAATTTTATTGATTATAGGACCCCAAGCAGGTGGTAGTACCCAGCCTCCTCTATTGACATTAGGATGTTTTTTTATGTTAATTTCAATAGCCTCACGTATCATCCTTGGTAGGAATCGGTGTTCTTTCGCGAGGATTTGTGGTCTATCAAATCCGATGTAATGGTTGGTTGCAATATTTTTACTTATTTTCGGGGGCCTCCCACCTTTTCCTCAGTGGTAACAACGCATTTACATCCAAATTATTTATCGGGGTTTTAGATCTACCAGCTACCACGTCGAATTAGCATCAGGTGGACTGTGCGTGGTATGTCATCCTTCTTTTATTAAAAAAAGTCTAACACGCACTGAAACGGCGCAGCAGACTCCGTAACACTGTAAGCAGATGCTGCAGCCCCCAGTTACTTAAATATTACCTCGCTTAAGAATTAAAATGCAGATGAATTATTCCTGAGAATAAAAACGAAATTCTTCGTTACTGGCGAAAAAACCGGAGTTCTCTAAACTGATTTTAGAAAAGACAGCAAGGTTATGCTGTTATTTTATGCTGGTATTTGGTTTTTATTTTTAATATTATGTACGTGAATGTAATATGGTCACATTAAGTTTTGCCGCCCTACAAAACCCAAAATAGAAGAAGGACAAAGACAAAAATATGTACAAAGTCTTATACTATACCTAATATATTAAGATAAAAATTGGAAACAAGCTTTGGAAATAATTAACAACACTTCAAAAAATCTACTTGAAAAAAAAACTACATTACCGCATACTAAAATCTAGAAATATATTTACTATAATGTCAACTGTCAAAATAGCGTCGATGAAGCAGCGCCCTTTTAACACTTTGTTATTTGAATGACCTATGAAAAGCTATCGTATCACAAAGACATATATGCAAACAAGGCTGTTGTTGTTTTGAATTATAAGAAAGTGACCATATTAACCGGATGACCATATTACCCTCACGTGCTATATAAGTCACGCCACGTTCACATCACATTCTCAATTTATCTCACAGGTAGGTAAAGCCACCTTTATGTCGTATCGACCTTCTATGAGGTCAATGTCAAGAGGAACCTGACCCCGTTTTTATAACCACACTCACCTGAACAATGTATACTATACTCTTCTTTTGACTGGAAACAATGAAACAGTGTTTCAAAGAAAAGTAATACTAATGTTAACTATATTATTACGACTGCTATCTGTCTTCTTAGTTTGGTGGTTGTAAACGTGATTGCTGATGGAGGTTCCGAGTCTGGCCAAAATCAAATTGGGTTTTTCTGTCTGAAAATTCTCAGTAGCAGTCGGGAATCAGGTAGTCAGGTCAGTCAGGTCAGGTCAGGTCAGGCTCCACGGATAAAAAGATAGGAATTTTTTTTATACAATAAGAGTGAAAAACGAGCGCACCGTCCACCCGATGGTAAGTGACTGCTGTGGTCCATAGTCATTCATATTGGATGCAGATGCGATGTCAAGCCTGAGGACTAAGATGGAAAGCCTCGTTTACAGTAAAAATGGTGCAAAATTTTCTAAGCTTTCGTAACCGGCTATTTTACGCAGGTATTCTGTGAGAGCGTGGTCCTATCCTAGTTGAGTCAATCTATTTTTGCTACTATCATAATATAGCTGCAGAGTAGCTCTACCACGTAACCGCGAATCCGCGTTTCATCCATTTATGGGGATGCCTACGTTCAGCAGTGGACTTGAGAGGGTCTGTATTTTTGATGAAGACAACGGTGATGATGTTATACTTCCGATTCAATGAGCGCAAGGAATCTGTTATAGTCACAATCGAATGAGTATAATATACTCTCTCGACTCTCTCACTCTCTGTTATAATAATATGTCAGAGAAGTCACAGACAAAATTGGCTACATTTTGAAGCAAATTTTCATAAATTATACACACTATAAACTGTGAAGAACATTAATCAGTTTTTATCATCCGTCTAGATCCAGTGTAATATTCTTCAAGAAAATGCAGTAGTGCACAAACTTCATTGTCGGTCTCTCTTGCATAGGGTAAACAAAACACAAACATTTATAAAAAGGATAATGGTCATAAATGATGATTTGCATTGCTGCAGATCCAGTTCTCGCTTAAAATCTACATCACCATCATCGTGACAGCCCTTCACAAGTCCACTGCTGGACATAGGCCTTCTCTAAGGAATGCCACAAAGCAAGGTCCTGAGCCACCTGCATCTGTGGACTTCCTGCATATCTTACCAGGTGGTCAATCCATCTAGTGATGAGACAACTTACACTTGCCACTCGAAAACCTTTCTATCACATCGCTTGTTGGTTCTTCAAACTATTAAGCATTACATTACACAACACTGCTTCAAAGCCTACATTCAATATAATCGCTTATTTTTAATGCAAGTAAAGGTAACAAAGCGACTAACAGCACACCTGATGGTAAGTTGATGATCAACATATTGATCGCAGTTAACGACATCGGTTATAGAACGAGAATCAAAATACAGATGTGTTGTCACTCTTGAGATCATATTGAAAACTCCTTACGTGAATTATGATCCCGAGAGGGATAAATAACCTTTTATAAATAAAAAATATAAATTTATCAATTAAACGACATTACAACATGAGATACAACTTAGGTCTGATTGTAGGAACTTCCCGGTTCCCTGCAGGCTGCATTGGAATATTGTGCTGAATTGTGGTGAATTGTGGCGCCACACTGCCTTGAAATCACTCTGTTGTGGAGTGTACATAACACGAGTAAAAAAGATCTCTGAGAGCAACGCCGTCTTAGGCCATACCGGGACCCTTGGGTACACAAGAATTTGGAGCCCTGTTGGAGAGTAAAATAAAGTGAATAAAACTATTATTTACGGATTTTATCGCGTTTAATTACTTTAATTTATTTTTATTATTATCCCGACGTTTTGGGTGCTTTACAGCACCCATGGTCACGGGGAGGGGACTCAGATGTTTGACGTCCCAATGTCATAGTTAGTCCGGCTACCTTCAGTTTTTTTTAATATTAATTTTTGGTTCGATTTACGCAAAACGAGCTTATAGTATCATGAAGTCTTGCAGTGGTATGCTTGGGTTTGGGTTTAATTTTGTTAATTATAGGATCCCAAGCAGATGGTAGCACCCAACCATCTTCTCTATTGAAATTTGGATGTTTTTTAATTTCAATAGCCTCGCGTATCATCCTTGGTAGGAATCGGTGTTCTTTTGCGAGAATTTGTGGTTTATTAAATCTAATGTAATGGTGGGGACGATCTTGAACATGTTCGCAGACTGCAGACTTTCAGGAGCGCCGGTGCTTCACATCAGCTATATGTTCCTTCACGCGGGTTTTTATAGATCTCTTTGTTTGACCTATGTAAGAGAGACCACATTCACAATCTAGCTTGTACACACCTGCATCTTGTAGAGGAATATTACATTTGATGAATGGTAAAAATTGACTAATCTTCTTCAGCGGCTTGTGTATGTCTTAATGGACGCTCGCTTCAAGATGTAGCCAATCTTGTCCGTGACTCCTCTGACATATGGTAGTAGAACAGGCGCGCGCTCGACTGTGGCCGGCTTCACTCGTTCACTGTGACGTAGGCGCGGGACCCGAAGCTTGTTGTCTTGCAATACTTGCTTGACGTGCTGAAGCTCCGCGGCCAAATGCTTTCTGTCACAGATCCCTCGTGCTCTCTGAAACAAAGATTTACCCACGGTAGCTAACCGTGAAGGATGATGGTGAGATTCACCATTTAGATATCGGTTGGTATGGATCTTTTTCCTATACACAGTGTGACCAATAGTGTTACCAGGATTTCGGATGACTAAAACATATAGGAAGGCTAAAGAATTATTTGTCCCTAACTCCATTGTGAATTGTATTTTTAGAGTTTATGGAGTTAAGGTGGTCTAAAAATGCAGTTACTTTGTCAGATGGTAAAATTGTGAAAGTGTCGTCTACGTATCGCTTGTAGAATCTTGGATTTACAGAAGCAGTAAGAAGGGCTTTCTCCTCAAAGTACTCCACGAATATGTCGGCGACTATGGGAGACACAGGTGAGCCCATCGCCACACCATCTACTTGTTTGTAGAACTCCTCCTTCCACAATAGATAGCCAGATGTGAGGCAATGTTTAAGTAGTATTGCATATTCTTGAGGCATGTTATTTTCTTCTAGCTTCCTAGTTACAATTGAGATGCAGTCCACAATAGGTAGGCATGTAAATAGTGACTGAACATCAAAACTGACCAT